TATACCTTTCTTTCCCATTTTTTCCTGGCAGTAGGACTGCTAGGTTCCGAATTAGGTTTCTTTCTGTCCAAGATCTTCGCGATACTGTCGTTCTGCGCAGGTTTGAATTTGGCGATAGCATCGGTGACACTAGGCCTAACATCCTCCAGAGATGGAAGTTCCAGACAACTAGAGAACAAGTCACCGAGAATTTTCTTCACACCGCCCAGCGCATGGAACGGATTCGCCGTCATAGGTCTGTAATGTGGATCCCTTCTGCTTGCCAATTCCGCTACTCTCCTTGCAGAATGACATCTCGCCTTGTCGGAAGGTGTCGCATTATCGCAACCTCTTGCATCAGCTGATTGGCTCCGAAGACGAGCAGTTTTACGTTTAGTGGAACGTCCTTCTCTTGTAATTTCGTCCATGCTGGACATGAGATTAGGATCCACGGATTGACGCTTGCCTATGTTGTTTTTAGATTCTTCATAATTGGTGATCATAGTCTCTAGGCTGGAGGTAATTTCTGGGAAAGTCGGTCTTGATTTTGGTTCATACTGAAAACAATGTATTGTGCCCAAGAATATACTTTGTATACATGTCGAGATGAGAAGTTGATATTATAAAGTATTTTGTAATCCGTGTGAAATAATATTGTCGAATATACGAACTAACATATTTCAGTTATGTACAAGAAATGAATAGAATGTCATCATTCAAGAAATTTTGATTATCCGAATATTTAAGAATTTAAGAATAGAATTAAATTTATAAAAATGAATTTTATTTTATTTAATATCCAATTGAATTTCTATTATCTAAATTAATTATTATTATTATAGTTATTTAAATATTATTATAATGTAATAAAATTGGAAATATATTTTATTACAATAAATATATTTAATAAAAAATTAGTTAATTAAATATTAACCAATTATTTTTCAAAATTATTTCTATATTAATATGTTATTATGTATTTTAGAAAAAATTGAATGAAATATCATATCATAAATTCTTATTACAAAATATTAATATATTCATGGAATTCTTTTATGTATATAGATAATTATAGATAGAGATAAAAAAAGAACATAAAAATTTATATGCAAAAATATTGGCTTATTTATTAAATTAAGAATTATTTAAATTTCTATCAGACTGAATATTTAATTCATTTAATTTTAACATAATACATTTTGTGTTAAGCCAGTATTATGTGATTTGATCTGCAGATCGCGTGAGCGTTTGTTCATTACATTTGTTAAATTAATTAATTAAATAAAATGATATGTATGATATAAAATACAATAAACATTTATTGGAACAGCCATTATAATGCATATTGCAATTTCCATAATATTTTTGAATCTCTAAATATTAAATATTGAAAAATATATTATTACATTAATATATATATTTTTAAATTATATATTTATTCAACAAAAATAAAAATATTTGTTATAATAAAAAATTAGTTGAATAAAATTTTTAGAAAAAAATTGAATAAGAAGGCAAAGATTATAATAATCGATATTTCAGATCGAAAGTGATTGCAGCGCCACATGGATCATCGATAATCGATAATGCTAACGTTATAACATAATTTTGTATTGATAGATGATATCAAAAAGTATTTCACAATTTTGATTTTAATTATAAACAAAATATCGAATATTTAGAAATCGATGATTCACGTGATAAAAAAATATAATAAATAACTCGTAAACTTCAATTATTTATGACTTAATAAATATATTTCTTGAATAATAATTTAATTTATCATGTACAATTTTTTATTGATTATATCAACTTGCGTAACTTCCAATGTAATTTATTATATATATATAACTAAAATTAATTTTTCAAAGATATCCCATGAATATAAAGTAATATTTTATATAAATAAATACGTATTGTATAAACGATTTAAATATTATTATGAAAATTAATTATTTAAATTATTTAAATTATATTATATAAACGATTTAATTATTATTATTAAAATTAATTATTTAAATGAAGTTCTCAATATTATATATATATATATATATATATAAATTTCGATAAAAATTGAATAAACATTCCATTTTACTCACAGTGCAACAATTGAAGGCGAGCTGCAGGAAGGCTGGCGGCGGATCAGCTGCTGCACAGATCTCTGCCACGGCTAGATAATCGAGGCCAAAATTATCCGACCGTGGTAGAACATCCGGATCGGCAGGCACACGGCCGATAAGCTCACAAACTACTATGCCGAACGAGAAAACGTCTGATCTATGATCGTACCATTGACCCTTCAAACATTCAGGCGACATCCAATACGGACTGCCTACTGTGCTCAATCTGTATCCAGAGCTTGGATCTGGAATTTTTGCAGCCAATCCAAAATCTCCAACTACGGCGGTCATTTCAAAAGTGTTCTCATCCTTCTTGATCAAAACGTTCTTAGACGTGAGATCTCGATGGAAGAGTCCACGACTGTGAAGATAGGTCATGCCACGTGCTACGTCCTTTGCTAGATTCATTCTGATTAGATGGGGTAAAGATGTGTGCCTAGACATGATCAATTGCTCTAAGCTGCCACCGTTTATATATTCTGTCAGGGCATGCAATTGTCCCTCGTGAACGCAAACCCCCATAAACCTGAAACAGATGAAATGAATTTATTATTGTTTGTTATTTAACTGGCATCAATTGTCATAGTCATTAAATTTATAATTCTATATTTAAAATCTATAATTATTAATTAAAATATGTTATTTAAATTTTTTTTGTTTTTTAATATATGAATCATTCAAAAATTAATTTATTTTTTTTTAATTATTAAATAATTAAAATTAAAATGTATAGTCAATGTTTAATTTTTCAGAAATTAAATGATATACATATATGTTCTTTAACTTTTGAAAAATCTTAAGAATTTTGTAAAGATTTAGAATCAGATTTAATTTATTTTTCCTTCAAAGAAATCAATATAATATAGCTTAAATAAGAAATTTCAAATTTATATCTTATTCAATTATTAATTATCTTAATTTTAATTATTACTATTCTATCACTATTGTATATTGAATACATTTTGAAGTATTTTATTGCTATTTTTTAAAATCTTTAAGCTGTTTTATTGATATATTCAAAGATTAATAAGTTTTAAGTAATTCTTTTTTTAATTATTTTTTTATATTTATTTTTATTTAATATTAACTTGAGATTAATTTATTTTCAAATAAATCATCATTTTTTGGAGAAACTTATATATTTATAAAAATTGTTAAATACCATACAATATACAATATAAATATATATATTCTTAATATAATTGTATATGAATCTATTCTTGCTAATAAGCTCCTAATCATTAGAATAAGTGAATCAAATCGACATGACAAAAATGAGTCTTAGAAAAAAAGTTAGATCTCGTTTTTCAGTCACAGGATTTTATTCAATTCACTCTGTAGGGCAAGCACTGCGAAAATTTTTCTCAGTACATAATTAGCAACATTGTTGCTATTATTGTAATCATCCTATGAGATTGGTTAGTAGTTGCGAGACTCTTTTTCTCTATCCCATTTTCTTCTCTATCCTCGAGTTCTCATTACCGAAATACCACGTAATCGAGGAAAGAGCTCGACTCCCTTGAAAAAAATCCACTTTGAAATCCTCTACATTTCAAGAAATTATTTTCTTCCATTCCAACCGCAACTCGAATCTTTCTACACATTCTAGCTAACAATAAATATTTTATTGTAATTTTGGTTTACGAATTATTCTCTCCTTTTTTCTATTTTTTTTTTTTTTTTATACTGACATATGTATCTGAAGAATTATTAAGTTAATCAGAACTAAAATATACAAAAATATAGAACAGAACAGAACAATATACAAAAATTTTTTACAAAATTAATACTAGTTTTTATTGATATATAAATACAATTGCATATATTCAATTATTTTCATGATGAATTAACTTTTGTCATTTGTAACATCTGTGCAATGCACATACTAAGTAGGTAATGCATAAGTAGTTTCAATATTAGTTTATATTCACTTTTTTTTCTATTATTATTATTATTGGTATACTTATATATATTTTTTATATTCACTTTAATTACTTGTATCATTCTTTAAAATATTTCTGCTTTCTTTGGTATAATATTCTCAACTATAACTATAATTTTAATTTCAGAATTTAATTTCTTAGATCTCTATGATTAAGTTTACATTATAAACCTAAATATTATAGATTCTAAATAAACACAATATAAGATAGATAAGTAATATAAATAAGAGTACCAAGAAATTTCAAATCTGTGATGTGACAATAAATAAATAAGATATTTGAGTTGAATTTTTCAGGTATTGTGTACGATATTTACCATATTTCTCTCTCTCTCTTTTTGTTTAATTTTAAATGGAAAGGCCAAAGAACCAAAGATGGAGAAGGCGAGGTGAATATTTTTTCCAACGTTCAACGAGGTTTAATTACCAACCACATCGTGATTCTCTTTATCAATCCGCGCACGAAGCGCGAAGTCGTTTCGCTCGTTACTCATCTTTCCCTATAAAGATAGGCGACCTTCGTGTCGAGGATAACTCAGGACGAAGGTCTACGATCCAGATGTGCATGAACGATGAAAGGATGGCGAATACGAGGTGACGAATAAGTATTGTCAATTTTTATTCTAACTTGAAACTTGAATGACAGAAAACGAATGAAAATATTGTTTTAGATTTAACTTTGAGTGATATAGTGGATTATACAAGGTGAACAATTATGATGGTACGTAAATAATACTTGTTTCTCTGAAAATTCAAAAACTATGGGATTTTTAAAGGCAACGTGTTGAGTAATCAAAATAAACGCTATAAGAGTTAATACATGAAATATGATTTAAAATTCATTTTTTAAATTATGAACAATTTTGAAGTATTATTATATATTATTATATATAATTTTTATTTATTTTGAAACTGGTCCTCCAGAGATGATAAATATATCAACACTCTCCATATGTAAACTTTTTCCTATTCAATTTTTATTTCTTCTCCTTTTAAAAACAAATACAACAAAGGAAGTTTATCACAAATTTGTATCAATCAATGATAAACAGACTATACAAACAAAATAAAACAAAAAAAAAAAAATAATTCATATATGAAAAATTTAATTCAAAATTTTCTTCTAGATATTTCATTGTACTAACTTTTCTCTACAGTTCGTTTAACAAACTAGAAATACTTACACCCTTGTTAAACTCATTAACATCGCCTATCTAACGCCCATACCTCGACGCCAGTTTGTTTGACTCGTCTGCCAATACAATTTGTTAAAATGGAACCGAAGAGGAGCAAAATCAATAATAAATCTCTTCCCCCCTCCCTCTTCCCTTTCAAAAACGATCATATCGATACAATCAACATTAAAACAAATCGTCCACTCGCAATCATTTACGATATATAATAGAATTAATAATTATCTATAGAAAATATTTTTCACTGTGAATAATAACAGTGACGTCAAATCAAAACTTCCAAACTCTTGAGCCGATATATACGTTACACGTTAAACATCTTCAATACACGTGTTTTAATAACAATACGAATAAATCGCATATTTCCATTACAATCCGCAGCAATATCGTGACAAAGTGGCCTTTTCACGTGCACGAGAGGGCACGTAAGACGATTATGGAGCGCCCGTATCGATTCGCTACAGCGCACTCTATTAACACCCAACAAGCTTCCAGAGCGTCGCTGGTTGGAACGTTTAAGAGCAACGATTCGGGCCACGGAAGCGGAAAATTCGAATGGGCCGAAAGATTTTCGTGACCTGCCTCCAATTAGCCTCAATCGAGCACCTGCATTTCTCATTCGAGAGAGAATTTTCTCATTCGAGGATTTTCTCGTCGATTTGTGCCCGATTGAATATTCAAACGGCAATTTTCTTTCTTTCTTTTTCTTTTCTTTTTTTTTTTTTTTTTTTTTTTTTTTTTTTTTTTTTTTTAATGCCAGTGAAAACGTGTTATTACCTGATCTGGAATTCTGCTTGGTTCTCTGCTCGGTTTAATCGGAGCGAAATATGATTGATCACACGTTGCATTTATGCATGACTCTCCGGTCCACAAGTGTGACACTTTTTGTTTTTCAATTCGTTCGATATAAATTATTGTTGAATTAATTGAATCGAAGATGTAATTATATTCAATATAATTTTAACAACTACTTAAGTGATCATAAATTTAAACGATTTATCCTTTATGCTAAAAATAATAAGATAAATAAAATAAGTTAGAAATCATTTTATTGGTATTATTTGAGCAATTAAATTTCATTAGAAGTAATTTAAAATATTATATTCGATTTAAAAGATCAACTCTTTAATTTCAGACATTTAATGAAATTTTAAAAAATAATTAAAAATAAATTTATTTTAGTTTGACAAACTAATGTTGTATGAAATTAATTAATTTTTTATTGTTTATTATTAATTCATTCTAGAAAATATTTGAATAAAGTTGGACAGATAAACATTCGTACGAAATATACTCGAAGAATATAATAAACATTTTATCAGAATTTTATTAACGAATGATCTCGTAACATTAATTGTGATAATTAAAGAGTTGTCTATATACTTTTGATAAGCTATGCTACATAAATGTGTCATCGTGAATAATAGCTTCGAGGATCAGATTTCAAAGGAAAGAGAAGATAGAATCTACGTTGGAAAGGAAAACACGCTTATCACGTTCGACTCGACTGATTCTTGCCAGAGATTAGATAACTCTGTCGAGGTGATTTCGAGTTTAAGTCAAAAGGATCGGTCGAATCGATTCATTACATTGAAATATTAATACGTGATAAATAAAACGTCACAATTAGGAATTTGATTCATCCATCATCTTCGTTTATATATAGTTATGTTAGGTGATGACACAACGTTATCTTGTCAGAACTAAGATAATAATTGTGAGTAATTAAAATACTCGAAATATTCTGTCTTCTCGAGTATCTGAATTTTCAAGATTCATTGAAATTCTCTAGTTCCTTAATTATTTAATTCTCGAGCTAGTTTATTTCTAGAATAATTAATATATAGAATATATATAGATAGAATAATTAATTAAAAATATAAATCTGAATTTTTACCCGAGTTGTATGTAATTCTGAGATATCGATATCTGATATCTGAAATTAGGAAACGTGTTTAAACTTTAGAATTATCGATCCTTGTAATTTATACGAATCGTATCACGTATTATTTGCGAAGCAACAACGAGAAATTTATGATTCTTATCGAAAATATGTACAAAATATATCTCGATGAAGATAGCAATGGATTTCTAACCAGGCTCGATTAAATCGCGATGAAAATAAATTACAAAGTAGAAATTGGCAGAACGTTGTGCTTCATGCATAAGAACTTGTTCTTGACGAAAAAAAATTCGACTCGTTTCATGCAAGTCTATATTCTATCGCGAACAGTAAACGAGGTGCGATAGACACGTGTAACCGTCGATTAAATTTCACTACACGGATGAATTAATTAAACGCGTCTAACGAGTCGACGTAATTAACAATAACGTGAATTTCATATATTTTCGTTTTCAACTTCGAATTTCGCGCCGTTATATATCATTGAAAAAAAAAAAAAAGTTCGCTCGATATCGTCGCGACCTACGTTATTAACCAAAAAATTTCTCGATCGATTCTATCTTCCCTTTACGCGTTGAATCCTATTTTTTCAATTTTATAATTCCAATTCTAATTAAAAACTATATTTCGATCATTCAATTCGAGACAAATTCCGAAAAAAAAAATTCACTGTTATATTTTCGATCACCTAACCTATTTACTCTGAAATTAATCCAACTATTTTTCAAATATTATATTTGAATTTCGTAATGCATCAACGATTCTAAACTCTCGATCATAGTGTATATCAAGTTTATCGCTACAGCCAAACAATCGAATCAGCGGCCGATGAATTACCAGTCAATTTATTTTTATCGCGATATCCTCGATAGGAGTATCGCGACTATCGACACGATTCGATTCGCACGCACGCCCGCAAATCGCGTTGCGAGTCGATAATTTTGTGCCGGAGCGGAGAGACCAGTGTGATTTTTCATTGGCTCGACTCCTCGCACTGTTATCGATTATGTTCGAGAAAAACACTGGTACCCGCGTTCTTCGGCGAAACTACTAGAGATAAACGTTGATACGTTCTAAACGTTCCGATAAGATAGGCGAAATTCTTATAAACTGAGAACGATAAATATTATCGTCGCGTTCTTTCGTGATATTTCTCGATATCGATTATATACAAATCTTATAACATTATAAACAATAATTTGAAACGAGAAATTTCTTTAGGTTTTCTTATTGTAATACAAATTTAATGTGATAAATTATACTGTAATAATAACATTATATATATATATGTTTTTTATTTTTAAATATTTAAATATTGTTCGTCTATTATAAGAATGTTTCTATGATAAATTATTATATTATTATAATTAATTATTATATTTTTATTAAATATGATAAATTATACTTTTTGAATTTTTATTGATCTCGAATTAATCGAAGGTTGCTATATCTCGATGAGAATGGAAAAAATTTTTAAAAAACTTTTCACGATTAGAATCGAAAGAATGCAAAGTATGAGTATTATTTTTTTTTGACCTTGAATTAATCAAAGGTTGCTACACCTTTATTTGCAAAATACACTTATCAGCAAATGACTATGGCTTTACAAGTTGAACTTGTAACAATAATAAAAAGAAAAGAAAGAAATGAGAAATACTGTACTAATCTCTGTAATCACGAGCCACGATAACAATCATTCTTCGTGATCTCGACAGAGATTTAAGTTTACTTTCAATCACGTGAAAAATAAATACATAATAAATTAATAGATTTAGAGATTATTTTATAAGACTTTAGTGGATTTTGTTAAAATGAATTCGAAATATTGAATCGGCTCGGGCAAATTGCAATGATTATTCACGAGCACGCTCCAAGTAATTGGCGCCAAATATTTAAAATATCGATTAATTTCATAGTAGATGAAGTTCATAATAAATCTCAACCTTGCTCTAAAAACTAATAATGGAGTCAAGTATATGCATCATAAACGAATTTTTTAAATAGATGTATCGAATCCTCTACTTTTGTAAATAGCGTCAAATATTAATTTAGATCAAATCGCGAATGAATATTTCGAAGAAGAAATAATTAAATAAATTTTATTAGGTTAAGTTAGGTTAAATCCTCTACTTTTGTAAATAGCTTCAAACATTGATGTTTGATTTAATCAAATCATCGCGAATGAATATTTCGAAGAAGGAATAATTAAATTAATTTTACTAGGTTAGGTTAGGTTAAACTAGATCATGGTAAATAGATTTAAATTCTTCATAAATATTTCGAAAAGAAAAAAGTATTTTCAAGTAACATTCAAACATTGATCGAAACTTTGCCAGTATCTTATTAAAAATTCTCTGAAATCTCATTCAATTCTAGAATCTCTATGCAATTATTAAAAATGTACAGCAGTCTAATTATTTTAACATTGAAATCAATTTTTCGCATACTATAATTCTCATACATCTGATTATAAGTACACTCGACTTTACACCCTTCTAAAATATATTTTTAAAAAAGTTTATACATTATTTCCAAAAAATTATTTCCGAAAAAATCGAGAATAAAATTATAATCAGCAAGGACCAAACACAATCTTCACATTATTGGCTTATTAAAAATGTATCGTTCCAAACAAACTCGACGAAAATTTAATCAAAGTTTCCTATCTTCTATATTCCATTTCTCTCTTCCTTTAAGCCTCCCCCCTCCTTTCTCCCTCTCTCTCTCTCTTTCCTCTTTCTCTCAGCTTCTCCTTCTGGTCTGGACATAGAGGTCTTCACGGATATTTCGCGGTTTCCGCAGCCTTCGACGGAGAGAAATGCCAGAAATAAGATCCTCTCGCGGGATAAACACACACAAGCGGATCTGGGCCAAGCCGTTTATATCGTTGGAATGCGTTGTCGCCGCGGATGAGCCGTGTCTAGTCAGGCTGCGGAGCGGTTACAGGCCGCCATTATGTCATAACTAACGTAAACCGCGAAACTCTTTTTGGACGTTGCACGATTGGTGTGCAACCGAGAATCGACGTGATTTGCAGACGTGCTTTTGCACCTTACCTTGGTGGAAATTGCCCTCTCTGAATATAATATGTTGAAGATATATATTGCGGATCCCCGCAACAAAATGACAATACCTACCGTCGGTATAGCTCTCGACGCTTCGAAATTAAAATTATATTCGAGGAAAGGTTATTACGTTGCAATTGTTCGTACGGGAAAAGATTAACCGTAGTTTTAACAGCGTTTCTGAGATATTCATGTGAAATCATTACGATACGTGATGAAAGATATACACGATGCGTAAGGGGAAAATGAATATTATTTATATAATTTGATTTATAATTGTACGATATTTTTTTCTTTTTTTTACGAAGAATAGAACTTGTTGGAAAGTCAATTCGAGAAGATGAAACAAACAAAAGAACGAGTATACTAAAATAAAATATCGATCGAGGCTTATTTATTATGTGACAAGCAGAAGTTGATGCAAGGTGTTATACATCGTATCGTACAAATAATTGCTATATAAATAATTATAATTTGCAATTTGGAATACAGAAAATGCTTTCGATTTCTTCGAAAAGAAAAAAAAAAAA